ACTTAGAGTTCTTCAATCCTTCACCATGCTCCGTCACAGCTCCTTTTCTTGGACGAACAAAGTTCATGGGTGGTTGGGAGATAGGTTTCTCGTCATTTACCTTCGGCAGCGGCAACACTAACTCTTTTAAAGAGTTTTCTACCCCTTCAATCTTTGATTCTTCACTTTCAGACCTTTTATGCTGCTTAGACGAGACTTTCTCAACTGGTTTTGCATCATTGAAATAGTATTTGGCATCAGCGAAATGAGTTTCAGTCTCCGTAAAAGGTTTATCATCACCAAGCACAGTCTTCACAACGCCATTTTTGCAATATTTGAAGCATTGATGCCATGTGGACGGAACCACGCCATTCTCATGAAGCCATGGACGACCAAGAAGCATATTGTAAGAAGTTTTTGCATCGATGACATAAAACATAGCAGTTGATTCCATATCTTCCATCAGCAACCTCAACCTTATGATGCCAAGAGCTCTTTGCCCCCCTTGGTTAAAGCCTTGAATCATCAGTCGACTATTACCAAGTTCTTTCGTAGTCATTCCTAACTCTTTTAGCGTGCGAAGAGGCAAGATGTTGACTGTTGATCCTCCATCAATCAATATTCGATTAACCTTTTGCTCTTGCACATATCCGGCCATGAACAAGGGTCTGTTGTGAGGCTTAGAACCAAGCAGCAGATCTTCATCAGTAAAGACCATCATGGTGATCTTTAGTTTCCCAAACGCCTCCTCGCTAGCCTCGGTCCATGTGAACCCACCTTTCTTAGTCATCTCCGTCAGTGGCTTGGCGATGGTTCCATAATCCTTCACGAACTTTCTGTAATAGCCCGTAAGTCCTAGAAATCCTCTTAGCTGTATGAGACTTGTCGGTTTAGGCCAGTCGACCATAGCCTCAATCTTTCGTGGGTCGACCTTCACGCCCTCGTGGGATATGAAATGCCCTAGATACTCAACCATCTTCTGTCCCAATGAACATTTGGATGGCTTGATATGAAACGAGTTGGCCTCCAAGATTTCGAGCACCACTCTCAAATGCTCAAGATGTTCAACCCACGACTTTGAATAAATCAGGATATCATCAAAGAATACCAGAACGAACTTACGCAGATACTCCTTGAAGATGGAATTCATAGCAAACTGGAAAGTGGATGGGGCGTTGCATAGTCCGAATGGCATAACCAGATACTCATAGTGTCCTTGGTGCGTACGAAATGCTGTCTTCGGAATGTCGGCCTTGTGGAGTCGAATCTGATGATAACCAGCTCTCAGGTCGAGCTTTGAGGAGTAACGTGATCCAGCTAACTCATCGAGCATGTCGTTGACACTCGGAATAGGAAATCGATCCTTGATAGTCGCGGCATTCAGGGCTCGATAGTCAGTACAGAACCTCCACGTGCCATCTTTCTTTTTAGCTAATAGTACGGGAGAAGAAAACGTACTCTTGCTATGCTGGATTAATCCTGACTCTAGCATCTCGGCCACTTGCTGTTTGATCTCAGTTTTCTGAAAGTGAGCATACCTATAAGGGTGGATGTGTATGGCATGCTGCTCATTGATCAGTGGTATGCGATGATCGAACTCTCGGTGTGGTGGTACTCCCTTAGGTTCGCCTAGTACTCCCTCGAACTCCTCGAGAAGATTGCGCACATCTCCCTGTTTTTGCTTGTCCTGGTCTATGTTCGCTTTAGTGTTCTCTACCACTACTGCAAAGATTTGGCCGCCACCTAGCCAAACTCTTTCGATGCTTTTCAGCCCTACTTCCTTGGTACCTTTTTTCGCTGCCCGTACTCAGAGTGACTTGTCGACCTCTAGAGTTGAACTCCATAATTCCCGTTTGATAGTCGGTAGTCACCTTGCCTAACCCTTCGAGCCACTTCACTCCCAGAACGACATCCGGTCCAACCAAAGGTAAGGCATAGAGGTCAGCCTTAACAGTAACTCCGTTGAACTTGATTGGCACCTTACAGAAGCATCAATCATAAGCTCAGTTATAGGCAACGGGAAGTCGTCCTTAGGACACGCCTCGTTAAGGTCTCGAAAATCCACGCACACTCAAATTTGGCCATTTTCTTCCTGACCGGAACGATGCTCGAGATCCACGTGGGATATCTGACTTCACGAATGAATCCAACTTCAATGAGTTTATTTACTTCAGCCTCGATCAATGGGATCAACTCAGGTCAGAATCTCCGTTGTGCTTGTTTAACAGGTTTTGACCCTTTTCTCACGGACAAGTTATGCACTGCCACCTTTGGGTCTAGTCCAGGCATCTCCTTATACGACCATGCGAATACATCCTTAAACTCACCAAGAAGCTCTATGTAGGCCTTCTCTTCATCTACAGTTAGCAAGGCACTGATATACGTCGGGCGAGGATCGTCAACATCACCCAAGTTGATTTCTTTTAGTTCATCGACCGTGGACTTAACACCTTCTTCAAGCTTGGGAGGTGCGTCTTCAGCATCTTCCTCCTTTATTGGAGCATCCTCGCATATAGTGATATGGTTCACATGTGCAATATCTTCGGTTGGCTCACCAAGATCTTTGAAGTCGATACATGCTCGCACCCGTCCATTTCTTCCCGTGACAAATCGTGTTTGCACATTTTCATCAACTCCAGCGATATACCTTTTTCTCACCAAATAAGCTATCATTCGGTAAAGAGAACGTTCATCATTTCGAGGAGTTGTGAGAGTACCGCAAGCATAGTAAGATGAAGCGACACTTTCTCTATCATCATCTTCATCGTCATGCACTCTTGTATGAATGATCGTGTGCATTTTAGCTTTTAAAACTTCACCACGTGATACGATCAAGGCAGTTTGACGTTTCATACGTGACGGAATTAGACTTTTAAGCTTTAGAGCCAGGCCTACACCTTTTTCTTGTCTTAAAGGCTTTGACTGCTTAAAAGATCTCAGTCGTTGAAACACAGATTGTTTGCCTTTTGACTTTCGCACCGGACCGAATCTTTAAAACACCAACACTCTTTTCTATTTCTTTTCACCGTCAGAAGATGAGAACTCTCCTTCCGAGACATGGTTGACGTTTGCTCTCTTGATGGCGATTCTAATTGGACTCGATTCCACATATCCAAGACCTGCCCGGTTGTGCTTTTGCTCTTGAGGTATGAGCTTTCCCAAAGAGCGACTTTCATTGGGATTGTATCCTGCTTTGACGAGAAGCTTGTAGGCTTTTGGATCAAAACACTTAGAGTTCTTCAATCCTTCACCATGCTCCGTCACAGCTCCTTTTCTTGGACGAACAAAGTTCATGGGTGGTTGGGAGATAGGTTTCTCGTCATTTACCTTCGGCAGCGGCAACACTAACTCTTTTAAAGAGTTTTCTACCCCTTCAATCTTTGATTCTTCACTTTCAGACCTTTTATGCTGCTTAGACGAGACTTTCTCAACTGGTTTTGCATCATTGAAATAGTATTTGGCATCAGCGAAATGAGTTTCAGTCTCCGTAAAAGGTTTATCATCACCAAGCACAGTCTTCACAACGCCATTTTTGCAATATTTGAAGCATTGATGCCATGTGGACGGAACCACGCCATTCTCATGAAGCCATGGACGACCAAGAAGCATATTGTAAGAAGTTTTTGCATCGATGACATAAAACATAGCAGTTGATTCCATATCTTCCATCAGCAACCTCAACCTTATGATGCCAAGAGCTCTTTGCCCCCCTTGGTTAAAGCCTTGAATCATCAGTCGACTATTACCAAGTTCTTTCGTAGTCATTCCTAACTCTTTTAGCGTGCGAAGAGGCAAGATGTTGACTGTTGATCCTCCATCAATCAATATTCGATTAACCTTTTGTTCTTGCACATATCCGGCCATGAACAAGGGTCTGTTGTGAGGCTTAGAACCAAGCAGCAGATCTTCATCAGTAAAGACCATCATGGAATCATTATCAACATGGTGATTTTCAACCTCAGGCAAATTGTTTTCTTCTAGCGGAGCTTCGTGCTCATTTGTCATATTGCAAGCTTCACTTATATGATTAGCAGTTGCACTGTTTTCTTCCAGTGAGATTTTTCCTTGGCGTGTCAGCTGCATAACCTTGTCCTTGAATACGAAGCAATCATGAATTGGATGCCCTACAAGACGGTGGTATTTTCAATATTTTGGATCATTCACCCTGCCAGCTTCTTCAGGACGCTTCATCTCAGGTAACTCAATGAGTTTTGCTTCTATCAGATCGTCAATTATGCCAGAGACGTCTGAATCAAGGAATGGGTACTGCTTTGCTTGCATTTCTTTCAGAGTCAACCTTCTTTGTTCAATTTCCTTAGGGACATCCTTCTTTTCAACGACTTTATCAGCAGATTTTCCTTTGAACTTGACAGGCATAGCATTGATCGTCATGGACTCCTTATTTTGAGATTTTGAGGAAAACTTGCCCCCTTTATTTTGCTCGTATCTATCCTTGGAGATTTGGGGTTCTTGGATTGGAGGACCATTAGCCCCGCTTGCGGTCATGCTTAGTTCCATATCGTGGGCTCGAGTCGCTAACTCTTCGAATGTTTTCGTCCGAATACCTTGAAGGATGTAACGAAGACCCCAACTCATACCTCGAATGCACATCCGTAATTGTTCCCATGATGAAATCCTTCAGTTGATCAATGGGGATCATTCCCGTGGACGAGTGTTGGAATGGAGTCTTCTCTCTTTCTTCATATTGCTCTTGCTTGGACGTTTCAGACTCCTCACGATCTTCAGTTCGTTTGCCATTTGCGTGGCTTGTTTCAGCATTGTCGACCTTGTCCATTAGCTTTGAGATTTGAGAGTCTTGCTCTTCGACCTTCTTCGCGAGCCTTTCAATAACCTTCGTTAAGCTTGTGATGTGCTCTTCAAGAGTTGAAGCATTGGTCGTCATAGCCGGAGCGACACTTGAGCTTTATGAAGAACTTGATGATGAACGAGGAGTTGAAGAAGCAGAGTCGTCTTCATCACCTTCATGGGTAAGATGCAGCTTATCACTTCCAATCACCTTGTGCGAAGGAGCCGTCTCCGAAGATGCTTGCAGTTGCTTGGCCATGCTTCTTGTAACGACACCGAGGTTGGAACTTGAGGAACTTGTTGAAGGAATCTTGACTACGGCAATCTTGCGACTAGTCATGATGACTTGAGAAACTTTGGAGAAGAGATGAAAGGTAGAGATGTCCCACCGGGCGTGCCAAAAATTTGTAACAACAAATTTCGTGAATTGAATTTAAAAAACACGAAAAATATTATTCAAATGAAATTCTTGAATCAAAATAAATATTGCGGGTTACAATCTCTATTTTCTCCTCTGTTTCTTCTCACAAAAAAAAATTTAAGTCTTGGAGCGAAATCTTCGGCTTGATCTTCTCCTTGACTTGATTTGACTTGAATTAACGTAATCTGAGGGCTTGAAAGCTTTTTCCCGGATCAAACGTCAAAATATCCCAAGAACGCGAAGAACACGAATCTTTGGTCTTCACCGCAAAGTAGATCTCGAATCTTCTTCACGCCGGTTTTGAATTTACTAACGTTATTCGGAGGCTTCGCAGCTTGTTTCCGAATTGAGAATAAGAAGTTAGAGCTGTGGAAGGACTCGCTACTTATGAGGTTGAACGCGCTTGAATCTTGCTTTGAGTCTTCAAGAACGCCTTTAAATCTTCAAGAACACTTGAATCTCGTCGAGAGATCTTGAACTTGAGCTTGAATATGAACGCAATTTGGAGGCTTGACAGCTTGTTTCTGGATTAAACGTCGGTTTTGAGCTTGGATGTGCTTGAATCTTCCTTCGAATCTTCAAGACCGGCTTCGAATCTTCAAGAACACTTGAAACTTGTAGAGAGAATTCTCTAGAGCTCTTGAACTTGAATATGAATTATGAGATGTGTGTTTGACATTAGGGAGAGCTCCTATTTATAGGTGTAGGAGAAAGCATCCTACCAAAATTAAGAATCGTAGGACACAATTTGATTGGTCCATGACGATTCACATGAGATCTTCTAGATTTACTTAGATCTCCCAAGATCTTCTAGATCCACATAAATCTTCCAAGATCTTCTAGAAGATATGATTTATTTACCAAGAATAAGACTTGACACTTGGCATTATTTGATTGGTCAAGAATTAAAATATTAAAATATCAATTAATTAACTATTTAAATTTAGGAATTAAAAAGATAGAAATTCTTAAAATATAAATAGAAAATATTACTTGATTTTTTAATAAATCAATTTCCACGTGACATCATTTGATGGGACAAAAATTTTTTATGTCTTTACACGACCTAAAACTAAAAACTGAACTCCAAACGCAGTTCGGCCGAACAAAGCATGCGACAAGGTGCTCTCATTTGACAAACACTCATCACATGCATTCATCATGCATTCACATACATTCATCACATGCATTCATCATACATTCACTCATTCCTCATATGATCGCATTATACATTCATTCTCGTAAGAAAACAAAGAGCTCAAAGCTCAATCGAACAAAGAGCTCAAAGCTCACCCAGACAAAGAGCTCTAAGCTCGCTCATGTCGACATAAAGGCATTCATGCATAAAAAACGGGTACCAAATCGCCCGACCAGGCCATTCAGGCCCTATCCAGTCAGAAAAGTCGCCCATTCACTCAAACTGATTCAACTCGTCAAAGATCAAGCCATTATTATCATCGTCACGTCAGGCCAAAGCCTAAAATGATCAACACGACGCTTAAGGTTCCCAAAGCACCCTAAAATTACTTACTAAATCACGATAAAATCACCATTTTTCGCCAAAAACTGACAAGATATAAAGTGATCTCATGAATCACGCGAAAATTTTCCGCCACTCGCACTCATCTAAATATTTGTGATTCCACCAATATCCCTCATTATGCGATATCCTAACACAATAAAAAGAGCCCGAAGCTCAAGAGATCTTGAGGTAAAAACATTGCCAAATTGTAAAGATTAAATGCGACTTCAGAACAGTTCAATCAAGAACATGTCCTAAACTCGGGGGCCTCCTGTTGATATCCAATTTGGCTTATTAATTAAATGATAAATGAAATAATAAAATATGGCTCGATAACCGAGGATCCGATAATACGAGATAAATAAATATACAAACAGGTACACAAGACTGATCATCTAAAAGCCGATTGGGCCCTCAAATGTCAAATTCGTCCATTACCGAGAAGACCAATGTTAATCGGAACCGTCAAGAGTCATAAGTGGGTCCCACGATGATTATCTAATATTAAATAATGGTGTAATATTTTTTACTCATTTACTCTCCCACTTGTAAAAAATGGCCATATTTATAATGGCTTAAAAAAAAGAAAGGGAGAGGAGTCATTTTCCTCCCCCAACACTTTCTCTCTCTTTCACTCTCCAAAACAACAAGAAATAAAACATACATTTTTCATCATTTTGTTCTCCAATTTTGTTCAAAAAATTCGACTTTTATTTAACAGTTGATCGTCCGATTTTCGACATCAACACGGTGACCAGAGAAGAAATCCAACATTGCCTCCTCACCATCAGTGTAACGCCCCGTTTTATTTTAAAGAATTATCGAATAAATTTTTAAAAACCAGAGTTAATTTTTTTTTCCCGCAAAATCTCAAATTAAATTTTAAAACTCAACGGGTGCTACTTATCTACTAAGAATAAAAACAAAAATACAAACACATAACCCAAATATAAAACAATAGGGAAGTATCTAAACACGCATAGCTAACAGTTATAAACAATAATTCCATGCATTTATTAAATTCTCAAAATAACCATAAGTAAAGCATAATCCCAGAAGGTTTCAATCTGACATAACTTAATTATCCAAATCAAAACAGGAAAATAAAACCAAGTCATGAAACAACAATTCAACAAGGTCATAAATAAATGGAAACATATATCATGGTAACATAATCGATGCATTGACCACATCTCGCTCGTCTTTACGCCATCGCCTCCAGCTCATCTCAACCTAATGAAGGACGAGAAGACAACAACAGAGAACAAACAATGGGGGTGAGCATAACTAACAAGCTCACCATTATTGCACAGATATCCAGTATAAAGCATTTTAAAACCTTTTCACAATATGCATAGAATCCAAGGTCTAAACTCCCTACTCGGCGCTATCGCAAACCTCCTATGTACATACAACAACCTTCCGGATACAACGGCATGGAAGTAACTTGAAACCTTCCCACCCCCGGGTACAACGGTTCGTAGAATCCTTTCCAGGAGACAGTGGAGATGTTTTTCCCCTTCCGGGTACAACAGCTTGGGGCGTCTCCTCCCGGATACAACGGGCAGGTGACCTCCCACTGTTTTCGCATTCATCAAAAGCACTATTGTATGGGACACCTAGACTAGGGTTCTCACGCATACAACCATTTTTCAAACGAATCATTATACAAATAAAGAGTGCAATAATTATGGAATACATCACAAATGTACCCACCTGTTTGCAGCGACAGTTCACAATCACGAATCTCGAAAGCAGGGCGAGGTCAAAACCTCTAGACACCTACATTAAGTCCAGATACTAAAGTCAACGCTTTATCTAGACCTAAGTAGAAAATCACAAATTTGACTTAGCCGAACTTGATTCGACTAAGTGGTTCGTGAAGTCCTGTGGATATTGGAACTCTAGGATTCAGACTTGACCAAACCACTTATTAGGGATAACACAATTTAAAATAAAAGACAATCACAACAAGTCACGAGGAAGCTCATAACAAATTGGTTACCAACACTTAACAATATTTACTGTTTGAAAATAATGGCCAAGATTTACACATGCTTAAGAAGGTCAACCAAACCAATGAGCTAAGTTCTGGAAATTTAACACAAAATTCACCTCCCAATACTTAGAAATATCACCAAGTTTCGGCCCCAAATTCATTATACACAATTTTATAAAATTCAAATATGATATCAGATAAAACGATCATAAAATTCAAAGTCTGACCTAACGAACGAATTAGAACATGATATTTTTACTGGAGCAAGATCAGCAATTAAGGACCTACATATAAAGATTTTAGGTTTAAACAATAAATACACGAATTTTAAAAATTCCTACAAGTTTCTGCAGTTTATCGAATTTCAATTAAAACGGAACCATTTTCAACTCCAAAAATTTCAATCTTTTTACACCATGATACTACATATAAAACAAGCATCTCAGCCAAAAATCAAAATTTTTGAGCAGTTAACCTTTATTATGAATTTAACAAGAATCTATCCAAAAATCATTTTAATTATTAAAAATAGCTACAAGCCCTGAAAAATTATAAAATTTTTACACAACATGTATAATAATCACAGGATATTATACAAAGAATTTCACGTCAATCGGAGCAACATGCAATTTATCATGATTTATCAATTTCAGCAGTTAGTGGAACTACGAAAATTCATACATGACTCGAAACACACTGAATTCGTCCGAGGCCTTCGCCATGAGGCCTAGAACTCGACAAGGTTCCATTATCCACAGCACTCACACGATTTTGATAGAATTTAACATAATCATACATTAATACTTAAAAGCATTTATGTCACATAATCGAAAATACTTGTCGGAGCAATAAGTCCCACATACAAATAAGTCTTGCATACTTAAAAGCATGGGAGCAGCAACCTCTACAGAGGAATAAGTCCCACATACCATCAAAATATTACTCTGCTTTATTTTTAAGAAACACTTGAATTATTTGACATAAACCAACTCACAAATACAATTACAATTAGGCTAACAGAACAGAAAGGTAGAAAGACGGCAGTGACAATAACTATCACTTAACACATAATATCTAATCATAATAAGGGAATTGAGGTCGTGAGTACCGTTCTTGCGAAAAGGTGTGAAGAACGAGCAACGGAACGGCCTAATCGGGATTGAACGGAATGTACGCAAGCACCGGCGGGACCCGACAATGATGGACAACGGCGATGGAGGTCTCGACAGGAACAGCAGCAACAGAACTCTATCGCACGTGATGAGGGCTGGACTCACCGGTAGAAACGAGCAGCACGCAGCGAGAACACGCCGGGACTCACGAGGAAGATGACGGGCTTGAAGAGGTGCTGCGATTGTAGACTGCTGGGACGGTGGAACTGAAGATGACTGAGAAGGAACGGATGGCTGAGGATGATCACGGACGGCCTCCCTCCTGATGCTGGCGTCCACCTCCTGGGCAATGGAAACTGCACGCGCGTACGTCTGTGTCCCGTGGCCTACAATATTATGACGGACTGCAATGTAAAGCCCGTCAATGAAATGCTGTGCTCTCTGGGCCTCCGTGCAAACCAAAACAAAAGCTGCAAGTCTATTGAACTCCCTCTCATACTCGTCAACAGTACGAGTACCTTGCTGGAGCGATAGAAACTGATGCTCCATCTCTGCTCGGTAGTAGGTGGGGTAGTACTTCTCACGGACTAGCTCCTTGAGCATCTCCCACGTACATCCCGCCTTCTCGCCGGGACGCATGCTCCAGTAAGCGTTCCACCAGAGCCGGGCATCACCGGTGAGCTGAAGCTGAGCGCAAATTACGCGATATCTATCAGGGCAATCTATGACCTCGAAGATAAACTCCAGGCCCTGAATCCATTCATCTACAATGCGAGGATCTCCCTGCCCTAAGAATTTCTCGGCATGATAGTCGCGGAACTGTACGACTACTGTGGCCTGAGTAGGAGCCGGATGATCGGGTTCCCTACGGGGCGGCATCTGAACATTGGAAAAGTTCAACATTATTGAACACATGATTATATTCTGACTGATTACTAAGGCACACAAATCTCTTGACGAGTCGCCAAAAATGGCCGATAAATACTGACATGAAGCCTGAAGAACTCTAGAGTCATATCAAAAGATACTAAATTCTAGAGTCATGTCTGAGTATACTAATCTCTAAAGTCATGTCTGAACATACTGAATTCTATAGTTATATCTGAACTCTAAAGTCTGAATCTGATTTGAGCATCTTAACTAAGTCTGATTACTGATTTCTGAGCATAGACAAAGTAATATGTTTATAACTGAAAACTGAATCAGCACTTACCTGGAGTCGGCGAGGCGTGAGCGTGACGGTTCAGGTTTTTCTAAAAATTACTGACTGAAAAACTTTTCAGAGACGCAGAAACCTGCTCTGATACCAATTGTAACATCCCGACTTTTTAATACTATCAGAGTACGAGATTTTTCGCAATTTTCTGAATAAATAAATAAAATATTTACTTTGCGAAAACTGATTCGGGATGCTACCGTGAAAAACTTGACTTTTCTGAAAACCGTTAAATTTTTAAACTGATAAATAGAAACAGTTATAATATATTAACCGACTAGAGTCGGATCAAAAACTGTTTAAAGGTACCGAAGGTTTTAGCGGAATAAAAGCGTGGCAAAACACATATATACATATCCACAAAAATATCCTGAACTGCCCGCCAGCTCACTCCTCGTCCCCGACCCTGCGACCTGAAAAACATGAAATGCGTGGGGGCGTGAGCACTAAAACACTTGTGCTCCGCAAAAACTCATACTAATGTAAACATTGAAAATAATAACAATATCATGATCTCAGCATATGTAACTGAACTGAAACTGAAACTGATATCTGATACCGGTCTGATCTCGCGACATAAGTCACGTAACTGATAACTGAACATCTGTCGGCACAAACTAATACCGAAATCTGCCG